CATTAAAAAACATTATTTTTCGACCCCCATTTGACCACTCGGGGCAAAATGAAAATTCCTTAACCTTACTGCACATCTCCAAAACACCACCAACTATCTCCCTAAAGGTGATTAGGCTACTGCTTAGAATGTAGGGGGAGTTCAGGGAACACGGGGCTTTTTGCATAAAAAACGTCATTTTAACCCCCATTTGACCCCCTTGGGCAAAATCAAAATTCCAAAATCTTACTGCACATCTCCATGACACCACCAACCATCTCCCAAAAGATGGTTAGGCTGCTGAGTAAAATGTAGGAAGAGTTCATTGAAGTCGGGGCTTTTTGCATACAACAAACAAACAAATGACATAAAAAAACGTCATTTTTTTCGACCCCCATTTGACCCCCTGGGGCAAAATCAAAATTCCAAAACCTTACTGCATATCCAGATGACACCACCAACCATCTCCCAAAAGATGATTATTGAGGCTGCCGAGTGAAATGTAGGAAGAGTTCATGGAAGTCGGGGCTTTTTGCATAAAAAACGTCATTTTTCGACCCCCATTTGACCCCCAGGGGCAAAATCAAAATTCCGAAGCCTTACTGCACGTCTACTTGGCACCACTAACCATCTCCCAAAAGATGATTAAGCTACTGTGTAAAATATAGGAGGAGTTCAGAGAAGAAAAGTGTGACAGACGGACGGACGGACATGAGTTACAACAATATACCCGAATTTTCTTTAGATTGATTGATTGTATATTGTTTAACGTCCCTCTCGAGAATTTTTCACTCATATGGAGACGTCATCGTATGCCGGTGAAGGGCTTCAAATTTTGACCTTTACTCGGCACTCAGGGCCATTGAGCAGTGAGGGATCTTTATCGTGACAACGCCTGCCGCTGACACGGGGCCTCGGTTTTTAAGGTCTCATCCGAAGGACCCGCAACTTTCACTTGAAAGTGCCGAGCGCATGGCGAAGGAACAGTTGCTACCCACTTTAACGACTAGGTCAGTTGCGGCCGAGATACGAACTCACGACCTCCCGATCACAGAGCGAGCGCTCTACCGACTGAGCTACTGTGAACGGTAACTTTCTTTAGAAAGTGCGGGTATAAAACTATTCTTTAACGCATACATTCTGCCTTCTTTAAATTGTCTAACTATTTGGGATAATGCATCAAATGCTAGCATTGACAGAGTTTTTTAAATTGCAATAAAAGGCAATTGCAAAATTATTTTCTTAAAAAAAGATTCTGATTGTACACACAAGTACTCTAATGTCGACATAAAACAGATGCTTGAGTTTCTGCTTGACAATATATAACTATGCTGTTTTTTGGAAACCACGTGTTCCAACAATCTATTGGAAATTCAACTCTATGATGAACGTGATGACTTCAACTTTTCTATCGTCAGCCTCCCTTACTTATGCAGCAATATACATTCATCACATGCATAAGGAGTTTATGTATCTCAGTTGATTCGATACGCTAGATCATGCTCTATAAATAAACAATTTCTAAAACGATTATTGACAAACAAGAATATCAGCAGTCTCGTTTAAAGCCAAAGTCATCATTTCGTAAGTTCTATGATAGGTACAATGACGTTGTCTGCAAATACAATTTATTATTGAGTCAAATGCTGATTGACGTTTTTCATACTAATTGATAGTCTATTATTTATGCACTGAATTGGCGACGGATTTTTACGTTATTTTCCGATCATAACAAGGAACACACGGCGGGTGTGACCGGTCGCAGGGAATGTTCACTCCTCCATGGCAACTGATCCCACCTCTGATGTTTTGGAGGTCCGTGTTTGCTCTGGTTCACTTTTGTATTGTTTTATAGTCTTTTGATCTTGAATTCTGTCCGTTTTCTCCATATGTTTCATGTGGTTTATTATGCCCCTTCACTACCATTAGTGTGAAAAACTTGGATGGCTGATCATACATTAGTTGATTGATTTTCATAAAATGTATTACTGCACAAAACACTTCATGGTATAGCACTAAGTAATTAAGAGACTCTTTTTTAATTTTCTTCTAATAGTAATGTTCTACGAAACCAACTACATGTATTGTACTTCATCTACTGAAGTATCGAAGTTATTAATTTAAAAACTCGTTATTCCGAAATTCATTTAAGGAGAAAACGTTTTTCCCCAACTGTTCACACATTTTGTAAGAATGTAGAAAAATTTATCATAAAGTGCCCGCAACTAAAAGTAATATAATCCCATGTCATAAAATTTTACATGTACATGAATTTGCATTTTTTACGTCATATTACTTATTATTGACAATGCCATTTCTCCCAAATATGAAAGAAATTATATTTTTATTTTTTTTAATTATGTGCATAATAACTTTAATTGCTATTCATATCCCTCTGAATTGCAAAAATATTTAGTTAATAACAAAATCTATCCCCTAGCTTCCAAAAATCCCGCTACATTTCGCACAATTAATCTTATATCTTAAAAAAACTAATAGAGGTTAGTACGTTTTTTTAGGAATATAATTTTGTTTACTACTCTATACCTTGCAAAACTTCTACCAATTATTTTGCTTTTACCAATCATTAAACTAAGTATAAATATTGCATATAGTTAAGTGTAACATTGAAAATTACATCCCAAGAAAAATCATTGTCAAACGAGGTGCAGCATAAATTCTGTACAGTCAAAATTTTTTTGAATATCACTCGTCGTTATGCAATGTTGACTGTTGCTACGCTGGAGAGCGTTGCTTCATTATTCAGCGGGTAAAAATGTTATTCAACAAATGTGTCTCGAACAATTAGATTGAACCAATTAACATGAAAGTATTATAAATATAAAAGATATATTGTTACTATTTGAATATTTGTTCCGTTATTTAATATAGGTAAGTTATAAGTCTTAAACTACATATTGATAGCAGGTGTTCCCTTCTTCAATTTCCAGCACTATCGTTTTTGTTTTATTTTAACGAATAAAAACCCAAGTTGAATCTAAATCTATATCTGATGTACTTGGACAACAGGACAAAGTAAGTCACCATAGTAAGTCACCATTTCTTGCATTTCTTAGACTTTGGTTTTGTTATCTTAAATATTCAAAATTCAAGAAATTAAAAAAATGCTTTCATTGCAGGTGTAGAAATGAAACCGTAATTTAAGAGATCAAGGCAAATTAAGGCAATAAAGAACAATTCAGACTTTGATTTTGTGGTAGTATATGCTGTTAGAGTAATTTGCTCTAAAAGAAAACAGAGTGAAATCTTAACTTAATCCAAGCAATACTTATATTTTCACAAGCCAAGATAAATAAACTGAACATTTTATTTGCATATATTTTACCATTCAACAAGGCAGCAGTGATTATAATACTATTATCTTTAGATATTTAACCCGGGAATGCTTCTGTAGATTGACTGTTGTTTTAACATTTAAGAATTTTCACTCATACAGAAACTTCACGTATATATACCACTAAAGTGCTAAACTACACTATTATACCACAATTTCTTGAGGTACGGAATTGATAATCAGTAAGAAAAACATATTAGTGAATATATATATATATATATATATATATATATATATATATATATATATATATATATATATATATATATATATATATATATATATATATATATATATATATATATATATATGGTGTTAGGGGGCAATAACTGTTTGTTATCTTCACCTTTAATATCTCAAGATAGATCCTTGGACTAGTCTATACTGGAATATTATAAATGAATTTAGGGTAGCCATTTAATTCATTTCTTTGTTATACCATTGTGTATTTTTTTCAACCAGTACAATATGACATCCTTCGATCAACTTTAATTTTGCTACCTGTTCGTTCATAAACTACTTTTCATTCTCGAAGCGTTCGAATTGCAAGCTACTTAATATGCTGATATATGATATGATGATTACACAAATTCGTCAATTAATTATTACAAAATTGAAAACCAGAGTTGCACAAACATTTTTAATAAGTCTTTAGGGAGCATGTGCGCCTAGCCTTGCAAGGTTCTTTTTAGCCCTAATTGTTATTTTGGGGTCCACAATTTTTTTTTTCACTTCGTGAAATTGTTCTCATTTTTTAAAAATTGTTTTTATCTTTGAGTCGAATACCTTACTGTCCACAGTCTTTAATGAATAACATAACATAAACAGCGTTGTTTTTTTTTTATTTTTGAGAACTCTTAAAGTTAAGTAAATCAAGTGCCTAGAAAACAATTTTAGGTAGGAAAACAGTAAATTATATATGAGAGTTATTTTTTAATAGAAGCATGGTCAGGTTTTGGAAATGTTCGAGTAAAATTTCTTACCTGCCATGTGGATATGGTTGCAAACAGACAAAGTGATTAGAAGGCGAATGATTATTTGCAGCCCTGAGTTAAAAATCAGAAAAACTTTCTTGTTTTGCTTATGTTTTCTTTACTTTCTGCACACTGTTTACGTGAGGGTAATAAAACATTTTAGTCACTTTAGAATTAAAATCTTTTTTGCATTTTATTTTAACAAGTACAAATTAAACTATTTCAGGTCATTAAAAGATGAGTACGTCATTTATACCACTTTACCTACTCTCTTGCATAGCTGTCACTGGGGCACTTCGTGAAACAACATCAGACCACAAATTGTTGGCTAAACGAGGCTCTGTCAACCAGCAATGTATGTCATTACAGTTTCAGTTCAATTAAAAAACGTTCAAATAACATTTCATTTAGAGAAAACCTTCAATTCTTTCAGTGGATAAATTACTTCTGAAATTACTACGAGATTTGCTTTTCCCTTGATAAAAACTGGTTCAGTTGACATTTCAAAGTAAGTATTGGTTTGTTGTGCAGTTGGACAAATTATTAGCTTTCAAAAGTATCACAGTATATTCTGTATCCATAATCTTAATCCAATATCTAAATTACGAAAGGCTTTCAAAAAATGTCAATAAAGTCAGTCATTTTCAGTTTACATATAAAGAACATAAACGTGACCAAAACGAATCTCCAATTTATGAATAAAAATCCTCGGACTCTGCGATGTTCCCTTAAAGGAGCTGGACTCGTTGTGGGCTTCAAGGTCCACAAGTGGTAAGATAATTTTATAAATGTTGTAAATTAGACTTAAATTTCGATTTTGAAAATAAATATACAACAAAAATACAAAGTAGTAAAATTATCACCATGATTTTTTTTAAAAAATCAGCATTTGCTACTTTCACCTACATTGTACACTTTTGATTCTTTTTTTTTCAGGTCAATTAGTAGGGATGTCATTCTTGGCGCACGACATCTTGGATTTAGAGTTGATATCACGAAAGGTAATAATATGCAAGTCTGAAGTGCAGACAAAGGAGCACGAACACTATGAACCAATAATCAGGATAATGCTGTGGTCATAAACTGGTAGAAATGCATGTAAAAACGATGTATACGTTAAAACAGTACAACCCTAAGGTATTTAATACCTAAAAGAGAATGAATTGTATGTCCTTATTTTTTTACTTGTATAGGATCAGGAAAGCACATTTTACTATTAATTTGCTTTTTTAAAGTATCAAATTAATACAAAGGCAACATTCCGTAATTTTGAAAATGTTGACGCTTCAAACTCAGAAACAAATTTATTTAAACCTATGTTAATATATTTGGGGGGGGGGGGTGCTTCCTTGTAATCAAGCAAAGAGGTAGATCTGCGTAACTGTGTAACAAATCAAAGATTACATATTTGAGTATTTTTAGATGAAAGAAGTGGTTCCATAAAAACATCTGATTGCGAGAGTCACAAGCCTTCAATTACAGCAAGAATTATCCGGAAACCCTTCATTGATCTTATTGCTTGGATATTTAATCCTCTCCTGTCCATGGTTGAACATAAAGTGGAAAAGGAATGGCTGGTCCAAATAGTATTGTAAGTATTGTTCAATCTTGATTTTTTTTTCTGCTTTATACTTTATACTGGTTATGAAAAAGAAAGAAAAAATCATTAAGTTAGAAAAAAAATGCTCGTTAGAGATACAAATTAGCTTACATTTATTTTTGCCCCGCAATCGGTATAGTTGGCTATGCATAACCACCAAATTATGCTTTATGGTAAAATACTGGTAGCTTAATTCTCAATGCTTCAAGTACTACTTTCTGATGGATGAGTACGTGATGATATGACGTTCTAATTGTCTAATCTTAGATATGTTCAGTAAGTAAGTAATTGTTTAAAATGAATGAATATTAGGATTATGTTTTGTTTCTTCTTTTTTACTTATAGATTTGCAGAGAGGTGAAAAAATTAATCAAGAAAAAAGAAAGTGATATTAAAACTCTATTTGATGAATACCAAGGTAAGCGTTTAATCTAACGTACTGTTGCCTATTCCAAAATTATGAGGTGCTCACCATCAGCTTTATAAACTTTTTTAGAAGCTGCTAAAATAGAAAACACCAACTTTATAAGATCTATTATACATGTGAACCAATCAGATAGCTGGCAGAAGTTGAGAGAAATAAATGAAATAATAAAATTAATAATCAAAAAAGACATATTGGTCGTCATTCTTTTAAGTTAAATTATGAAGATAACGAACAATAGCCATTGAAAAAATACAAAATAAGAGTAGAACAAACCTCTGAAAACATCAGAGATGGGATCTGGTGCCATAAAGGAGTAAGCATCCCCTGTCGACCAGTCAAACCCCCTGTGTGCTCCTTGCGATAAAAGGTAGACAATTCAATGAAAAAATCTCAATCATAGATAGAGGAATTCTTAACTTATGACCGAAAAATCGCGGGTTGAAAAAACGTAAACTGTCACAAAGTACGAGGGGTGATCAAAAAGTTCGCAAACTAATTTAATAACTTCCATACAAGAAACAATATTTGGTTTTAATGTTAATTATATTTTTAATTAATCCTCCTCGATTTTAATGCACATTAACCACCGTTCTGCGCATGCGCGAATCACGTGATATTGGCGGTCACGTGACCCCCTCCGTAACGCTCTGTCACAAAAGTTAAAAGATTTTTCCGAGTTTTATATTTCTTTCCATGTGAGTTAATTTTTATGACAAGAACAGTGAATTTGTCAGAAATGATTATATCTCAGCAACAGAATGGGTGGATAATAACATCCTTTCCAAAAATTAGCATGACGACCATTAAAACACAGATCTTCTGTGTCAGAAGACTCCTTTATTCAAGGTGGATAGAGAATGGGTGCATCCTTTTTATCATATCTAATATGTTTAAAATGTAAAGTAAACGATATCTTAGGTATTCAATACTTATATCATTGTTCAAATATTCAACTGTTTTTCAAAGTGCTAATTGGAGGTCTTTGATAGCAAATTGCTTAATCAAAAATACATATCTTTTCAAACTTGCTTTCACTGGGCAAGATGAAAAGTATCATTTTTAACCATCAGCCTTCCTTCACTAAAACGATTAATCCAATCATTAATTGAATTTATAGGAACTCATTTATCTCAATAAACTGTGTACAAATTATTAAATGATACTGTAGAGGGATTTCTAAGATATTACAATAAATTGTACAGTCGTTTGTTGAACGAGTGCGACTGAGACAACCATTTTTCGTCGCAATTGACCTAAATAGTGACGTCATTTTCACATTGTGACGTCACAAACAAGGAGAGAAACTTTATTCAGCATATGCTATTTATAGACCTTGTGTATGGCTATGTGTGTACCGAATTTCATTCTAATCTGAATTGTGGTTTTGTAGATATAGAGATAGTTTGCGAACTTTTTGATCACCCCTTGTATGTTATATCGTATAGCTTAAATTGAAATTAGCTTCATTCTTTAATTATTTTTTTTCTTTATTGTTGCCAGCTATTTAAATGGCTCAAAATAGATCACATGATCAAGTATAAAAAGTGTTATAGGCTGTTTGTTTTTATTTTATGCTTCTAAAAAAATTAAAACCCATTGTTTCTTAGATTTATATGATATATTCGGCACAATCCCTAAATATATAGACACAAGAGAATGCATATCGACTAAGCACGAAAGGCTATAATTGTATAATTAATGTCTCCCTTCTGGTTTGAAAATGTTTTAATGTTAAAAGAATCCGATACAAAAAAATATTCAGTTCTTCAATTCTAAGTTAAAAAGTATGTTGTTTTTATAATATTTGAGATTCACGGCCAATGATTTATATTTTCTTGACATCATAATGAAATAAAAAAAGATAATGGACAATGAATGATCTAAAACAGTCCATAAAGATAAAAAATATCCATGAACAGGACATACACTGTAAAACACAGTGCGCAGGAAATTCCATTTTATTATGTATAGGTAGACATTATGTTTTGAACTATAAATAATATGAAACATAGTATCAAGTATTAGAGAATTTATAAAGTTTTGCAAAATCCATAGTCCCAATCTTCATGGTTTAAAAAGCAGTTTTTTTAATGAAGCTGAATTTGTGCAAAATTGTATGCGTGAAAAGAAGAAAGCATTACTGTGGCCTTTAACTCGACATTTAGATATATCGACGACATATTGTAAGTTAACAATGGTAATTTCCATTCCTATGTCGATACGATATATCCTGGTGAGCTTGGGATAAAAGATACCACAGAGTCTGACACATCTGTTTCATACTTGGATATTTTACTTGGAAAAGACGTTAATGCTAACCTAACAACCAAATTATATGATAAACGTAATGATTTTAACTTTTCTATCGTCAGGTTCCCTTATTTATGCAGCAATATACCTGCTTCACCTGCATACGAAGTTAATAAATCTCAGTTGATTCGATATGCGAGAGCATGCTCTACGTACATGTATGAACAATTTTTAAAACGAGGTAAATTACTGACAAACAATTTGATGAAACAAGAATATCAGCAGTCTCGTTTAAAATCATCATTTCGTACGTTCTACGGTCGAATCAATGATCTAGCTGTCAGCAAATACAATCTATCATCATTGATTCCGAAGCTGACTGACGTTTTTCATACTAATTGTTCGCCCATAATTTATATACTGAATTGACTACGGATTTTCCCTTTATTTCCCGATCATGACAAGGAGCACACGGCGGGTGTGACCGGTCAGCAGGGGATACTCACTCCTCCATGGCACCTGATCCAAACTCTGATGTTTTGGAGGTCCGTGTTTGCTCTGCTCCTATTTTGTAATATTTATGGATTTTGATATTGAATACTGTTCGTTATGTCTAAAGACATGGCTTAATAACATAAATTATTCCATATTATTATCACCAACAACATACAACAATAAACAACAAACTACTAGGTTATAAATTTGCAAGATGAAAGAATGTTTTGTATAGAAATCAAATAACTTTTATTTGTAAAATTGTGCTGCACTTTTGACGTTAAATACAGGCCGATTCTGTTATTGATAGATTCATGTTGTTTTTTATTTAAAATGTTCTTTGTGATTTTATTTTTTAAAAAGCAAAGGATAATCGATCACACACTTTTCGACAAAAACATCATATACTCGAAATTGATTACATGACCCATGTAACATTTTTCCATGTCTCTTTTATTGATATCTTGAAATAATATATATTTATTATATTTACTTGATTAAATATTCAAAATTTGAATAAATTGATATTAATTTTATAACTACTTGATTTTAGGGTGATTTACTGAATACATGACGTCCATGATATTAATTCCTTGTATGGTGGAATCAAATTGTGTTTGTAGAAATAAAATCTTAAGAAATAAATAAAATTGCATTTATAATATAATTTCACTGGGCAACAGCATTGTGTGTATTACTTCACAAAGCAATTCCCCTACAAGGATAAGATATTGGTCCTCCACAATAATTAAATACACATGATATATCTGATGTATGTATTTTTAGATTTTTGTTCTTTTAAGATATTTGTACTTAATGATGTTGTATATTAACATAATATTATTGATACTGTTGTGAGGTGTGTTGTATTTGTGTTGTTTCATCATGTAAGTGGTCAACATGTTCGGTCATTGTTTCTAGAACATTCCTGATATAAATTATTACTGTAAATAAATTATTTTTAAGTTTAAACTGTGTGATTGATCTTTGCTGTAATATCATGGCATATTAGGGTTATTTACTGGGATATAATTTCACTGGGACATTGTGTGCAGCAACGGACACTCTGATGTATGTATTTTTAAATTTTTGCTAAGTTTGTACTTAATGATTTGTATATTACTGTAAATAAATTATTGTTAAGTTTAAACTGTGTGATTGATCTTTGCTGGCATTTAGGGTTATTCTGACCCATAACAGAATTGGGGGCTCGTCCGGGATAAAGAATTTCTTGCACTTTTGCAGTTTATTGTCAAAATTTTGTTTATTGAATTATTAAATTTGACTATAAGCCAGCAAAAATCAACATGGTATTTTCGGTCACAGACTTTCTTAGTTCACCAAGTGTTCAGGTTTTTGATACGTTAAAAAAGGATGACTTGATCGCGTTAGGTTTGCATCTTGGGTTAGAGGTTAAATCTTCACAGAGAAAGCAAGACATTAGAATAAAGGTTGCAAACAAACTAGTTGAAGAAAACATCTTTGGAAAATATGATCTTCCAGATTATACACTTAAATCAGAATCTTATAATATGTCAGAATTTCAGTATCAAGTAGAGTTGGAAAAAATGAGATTTGAAGAACGAGAGCGTGAACGGAAATTTGAATTAGACAAATTAGAAAGAGAAAGAGAAGAGCGAGAAAGAGAAAGACAAGAGCGAGAAAGAGAGCGTGAAATGAACTTTGAATTAGAGAAATTAAAATTACAGAACCAACCAGGACCGTCAGTTGTCAAAACTGAATTTGACGCAGCAAAAAATATCAGATTAGTTCCAAAATTTCAAGAAAAATCTGTAGACAAATATTTTCCCCAA